TCTCACTCTGTCACCAGGTGCCAGGCTGGAGTGCAGTGGCGCGATCTCAGTTCACTGCAACCTCTGCCTACCGGGTTCAAGCAATTCTCCTGCCTCAGCCTCCTGAGTAGCTGGAACTACACGTGTGCGCCACCACGCCCAGCTAATTTTTTGTATTTTTTAGTAGAGACGGGGTTTCACCCTGTTGGCCTGGATGGTCTCGATCTCTTGACCTCATGATCCACCCGCCTCAGCTTCCCAAAGTGCTGGGATTACAGGCGTGAACCACCGCGGCTGGCCCCCTCTTGCTCTTTTTATTGTTAAAACCTCAGCTGAATGCCTCCACCCTCCCTCCTGCCCTCTCTAAAGCTCGCCTCCAACCGCCAGCATCCCCCATCTCATCACCCGATCGATATTTGCGAAGGGGGTCTGTTTGGATCTGAAGTTTCTTTGTCGGCTTGCTCATTGTCTGTCTCCCCTGCTGGAGTGTAAGGTCCATGAGTCCGTCCTATTCACCAACGAATTCCCGGCACGACAAGGATCAGTGCTGGTGGGTTGTGGAGGTGTTTGCTGCAGGTGAATGGATGTAGGGGTGTGGAAGCAGCATGAGGTCTGGGTGGAGATCGGGAGATGCCAGTGTCTGGATGGGATGGGTGAAGAATGTGAGGAGGAAGAAGGGCAGAAGGCTGAGGCTGAAGACCGTGAGACTAGCCGCAGGTGCGGGGCAGGTGAAGGCAGAGCGTCCTGGGAAGGAGCTCGGGGAGGAATGGGGTTGAGTTAACTGAGGTGGGGTTCAGGAAGGAGAAAGTGGTACTCAGTCCCATCTGAAGGCCAAGGATAGGTCAAGTGGGATGAGGCAGGAGAAGAGATGTTTGGTTTCACAGCAGACCCAGTAAGCAGGAAGGAAGGGAAGATGTTTTCAGAGAAAGAATAGAGCAGTGTGGGGAGCCCAAGGTTAGGGAAGGGAAAAGGCCTTGGCTGTGGCTACGTGCTGAGGGGAAGGAGCCTGCAGAGAAAGCAGGTGCACAGGAAGGTCTTAGGAGGTGGGGTCATGGCTCTGGGTTTGGGTACGACCGGCTTCCCTCCTCCGAAGCTGGACACCTAGGGACCTGCCCAGGGTCAAGCATGAGGGTAACTGGCCTTGACGTCAGGGCTCTTCCCAGTAGGGAATTGAGGCAGAATGGTGGGAAAGCTGAGGGTGGAGGAGGGGCACTTGGACTGTCCCAGTGGGGAGTCTAGCTGGTGTTCTGAAGGCCCAGGCAGAGCTTGGCCACGGGTTTTCTAGGGCAAAGCCACTGGCACAGGCCAGGATTCTCTAGCTGCATCCTGCTAGGGATCATTGAGATTCCTCCTAATTCAGCGGTGTTTGGTGGTGAGCCACGTAAACTGACTCTGGTAGGTAGAGGTTAAGGTGGTAGGTAGGATGGGGCTGGGGAGGAGTGTTGAGGGTGGGGCAGCAGTCACGGGGCTTTAGGGCAGCAGGAGGGCTGGACTTGGCAGGGTGCAGAAAGGAGGCTAGGAGCCCGGAAACCCAGCACCAGCTTCAGTCAGGAGTAAAGGCTCAGCGTGCTGCCGCCACCGCTACTGCCACCACCGCTACTGCCACCACCACTGCTGCCACCACCACTACTGCCACCACCACTGCTGCCACCACCACTACTGCCACCACCACTACTGCCACCACCACTGCTGCCACCACCACTGCTGCCACCACCACTNCTGCCACCACCACTGCTGCCACCACCACTGCTGCCACCACCACTACTGCCACCACCACTGCTCCCACCACCACTACTGCCACCACCACTGCTGCTATTGCTTCTTGGCAGGAGTGCCTTGGTCACTGTCTGCTCCAGTCTGGAGTTTCAGGAAGGGGCCCCTGATGTCCATCCCAAGGCTAGTGGATGGTTCAGTCCTCCAGGCTGTGTCCTGTGGGGAAGAAGCACTGGGATGTGTTATTGGGAAGAGGGAAAGAACCCCAGATCCGGTTCACAGCCCCTGTGCCTCTTCCTCTCTCCACTGGCTTCCCAAAGACCCTGGACAGTGGGAAAGGATGAGGGGGAGGGTCCTGGGGCTGCTCCCGCCCTGAGCCCTTTGCTGCTGCCCTTGCAGGTGCTGGGAGCCCTGTTCCTGGCTATCGGCCTCTGGGCCTGGGGTGAGAAGGTAAGGCAGTGGGCAGGCATGGGGCTGGCATGGGGCAAGGTGGTGGGAAGGTCAGCTCCCTGCACCTGCCTCTGCTCCCCGGCACAGGGCGTTCTCTCCAACATCTCAGCGCTGACAGATCTGGGAGGCCTTGACCCCGTGTGGCTGTTTATGGTAGTTGGAGGCATCATGTCAGTGCTGGGCTTTGCTGGCTGCATCGGGGCCCTCCGGGAGAACACCTTCCTGCTCAAGTTCGTGAGTGCCGCCCCCGAGATCCCCTGGGAACTCCAATCTCCTTATCCATTCTTGCAATACAGTTGGAGTTTAATGATGGGTAGCTTTACTATTACGCTATAGTTGTCATCATTAGATTCATGTTATCTATATTTACTAGGATCCTTTCTGTGGTATCCTAAGTGACTGAGACCTAGTGGCCCAAGCATAAAATATTTGTTGACTCAAATAAGAAAAGCGCAGGGGTGTGCTGGCTGCTGATGCATTTTGGTCCAGGGGCTGCCATAGTGTCACTTGGCCTGGTTTCTCTCTGGTTCTTAGGTCTCCCCACCCCCGTTTTGGCTCCATTCCCAGGTGGCGGGAGGCTCAGGAACAGAGCTGGCTTCCCCATGCCCTCCCAGGAACTCCTGCTAGAGGCTGAGAGCTGTCTTCCCAACTGTTTTTCCGAAGTGCTTTAATTGCATTTCTTTAGCTCTGATTGGCTGCCTCTGGACCAATCCCCGGAGGCTGAGGGAGGCAGTACTCTGATTGGTGGGCTTTGGGCACTTGCCAGTCTTGTATCTTGGACTAGGGGGGATGGGGGAGAGGGGGGCGAGGAGGTGGCTCCATCCAAACCTTGGAAACTAAAGGTTTGCATGGAGAATGGTTTTTCAGAGAGAGCAGGGTGTGAATACCAGACAAAGGGGAATGGATGCACAGGTAAGAACAGATGCCTTTTACCATCATATAACAATACTAAAATAATGGAAGGTGGGGACTCTCGGCACCTCTGGGTCTTGGTGGAAGTAGGGATAGAGCTCCTCCCTTGTGGCACACACAAGCCCTGGGAGGTCACCAGAGCCCTGCGTCTCCAACCCCTACTATCTGTATGCCCCCAACCCCAGTTCTCCATGTTCCTTGGCCTGATCTTCTTCCTGGAGCTGGCAACAGGGATCCTGGCCTTTGTCTTCAAGGACTGGATTCGAGACCAGCTCAACCTCTTTATCAACAACAACGTCAAGGCCTACCGGGACGACATTGACCTCCAGAACCTCATTGACTTTGCTCAGGAATACGTGAGTCCAGTGTCCACCCTGGGCCACCTGTAGGAGGCGCCTTCCTGGCAGATGAATGAGGGAGCAAGTTCCCTGTGATGGGACCATCTCCTTACCCACCTGGGCTAGTGGGCCCCAGGAAAGAGACCCAGGAGTGTTCTCGTCCAAGGAGAGCCAGCCCCTGGTGATCCTTATGGGTCCCCATTTGCCTAGTACCATAGGGACACAGCCTTGGGAAACAGAGGCCATGGGCTCCACACTGACAGCTCCCAGGTCAGGGCCTACGACACATGGGAGAACGGAGGAAATGTGACATAAAAATATAGATTTCTACTTCCACTAAACCCTGGACCCACAGTATTATTGGCTGGGGCTATGTCGCTGCCACCCTTTTACTGGTACAGAGGCTCTCTGTTTGCCACTGTTCCCAACACTCTGCATTTTATTATATCTGTCAGCCCTTATTCTCTCATTTATACTGTTTGGCCTCTGTACATATTAGAGTTTAGGCTGCTGATGGAAACTCTGCCCTCAAGCTTGCAAACTTAACTCCAGTGAAGAGCAGCCAGAGAAGAGTTCACAAAACCCTAGCTGCCTCCCACCTGCACCATCTCGCCCACTCACCCCCAATCACAAACACACAGTCACACACTGTCACCCACAGTCATGCCCACACCCAGTCACACACAGGCACACTTGATCACACTTACACACCTAGATCCACAGTCACACATGAGTCACACACAATCACACCCACACATGGCCACAGGCCCTTGGCGCCATTCACCACCAACAGTCAGCTCTGGGATCCAGAGATGAAGCGGAGCTGGTGCCTGCTTCAAGCAACTCTCAACCCAGGGCAGAGGCAGACATAGCTAGGCAGTTGTGATGCGGTCCATTCATTCATTCAGCATAGGATTGTTAAGGGCCTACCATTGCCAGACCCTGAGCCAGGCCCTGGGGATCCGGCGGGGGAAAAAGCTGGGACCCTGCCATTGCAGGGATGGCAGTCAGGAAAGACAGATGGTGAACAAGCAGAACAAACAAATGTGTGCATGTACACGTGTGTGTACAAAATTGTACATTGTGATGAGTCAAAATGAAGGGTGTAGAATGGGATGGTCTCTGGGTGGAGAGCTTGAAGCCTCCCAAAGGAGGAGAAGGAAGAAAGAGGAGAGTGTTCTCTAGCAGGAGCAACTGGTGCTGAGCAGGTGCCAGGAGGCAGGTGGAGGTTGAGCCCTGCCCTGGGACCAGCACATGCAGGGCACGTGACAGGCCTGGCTCCCCAGCTCTCTGCCTTGGCCACGGGGCCCACCTGTGTCTGCCGCCGAGCCTGAGCTCCCCCAGCCCCTGTGCTGCTCTTGTCAGTGAAGGCTGTCCACACCTGTGTGCCCCACAAGACCGTGGTTCATGGCAGATCCCAATCTTACCAGTGCCCCTGCTTAGGGGACATCATAGGGTGTTCTGGGTGAGGGTGATGGGGTGTGGAATGATGCGAACCAGCATGGAGGAAATGGAGTAGGATGGCTCTGGGGGATGGCAGGGATGGGAGTGGGCAGGATTCCCCTCCTGTCCCTGCACTGAGAGAGGAGGGTTTTGTAGAACGTCTGGGGCAAGTGTGAGAGGCCTGCTGCAGACATGTGGCTCAGCGTTCTCTGCCGCCACAGGGCTTGGCCTAGTGCCTGCCTCTCAGGTAGTTCAGAGGAAGCAACGGTTGTTGAACCAGTATCCTTGTCCTACTCCCTCCCTTTTTCTAGCCTCTCTTGGGTCGGGGGGCAAGCTCAGGGTCCCCTCCCTTGTACCCCTCTGCCTCCACCAACCCGGAGGTGGGGCCGAGGCCTGTGGGAGTGGGGAGATTGCCACCCACCTGACTGTCCCAGCCCCCTCCCAGACAGCCCTGTCTCCCTGCAGCCTGGGCTTATCCCCAGACAGGGTGAGGCTCTTGGGGTGGGCCTGGCTCACCTGGGGCTCTCCCCTGCCCCCACAGTGGTCTTGCTGCGGAGCCCGAGGCCCCAACGACTGGAACCTCAATATCTACTTCAACTGCACTGACTTGAACCCTAGCCGGGAACGCTGTGGGGTGCCCTTCTCCTGTTGCGTTAGGGACCCTGCGGTGAGTGGGACTGGGGGAGGAGAGGCGAGGGGCATTGCAGTGCACAGACTCTGGGGAAACCACCCACAGGGCCCCACTCTGCTCTGCCCTGTTTTGGGGGCATGAGTGCTGGGGGAGCTTGTTTTATGTGGGTGGCACTGGGGCCTATTGGGGCATGGCTGCTTTCCCTGTTCAGCAAGACCTATCTTTTTGATTGAAGTGAGATGGAAATGGCAGGACCTTAGGGCACAGGGATGGGGACTTGCCTGGAGGTCTCCCTGTACCCTATACATCCAGATAAACACAACTGCAGCCAATGTCTGCTCCTGGCCAGCTTGAAGGTTGGCGGGTGTCACTCTCAGTTACAGTTGTATATGGTAAGAGTTGCGTGGGCCATTGCCAGCCACCACCCCACTGGGCCACCGTTGCAGAGTAGCAGGGAGTGGGGAGCTCTGCCCCTTTGTGGCTTTCTTCAGGGCAGAAATCTCTCCCAGTGGTGTTTCTTCAGTCACAGTTCATCTGGGATGGCAGAGGCCAGGTTTCTCCCCATTCTTATAACACACCAGCAGGGAGGGTTCCCGAACAGGTCCAGGTTGGTGATTGCAGCCACGCATTCTGGCGTCTGGGAAAGAGGCACATAGGACTGAGTGCAGTGGCTCATGGGAGGATCATTTGAGTCCAAGAGTTCGAGACCAGCTGGGGCGGCACAGTGAGACCTCATGTCTAGAAAACAAAAAATTAGACAGACATGGTGACACATTCCTGTGGTCCCAGCTACTTAGCAGGCTGAGGTGGGAGGATCACTTGCGCCCAGGAGGCCGAAGCTGCAGTGAGCTATGATCACGCCACTGCACTTCAGCCTGGGCAACAAAATGAGACCCTGTCTTAAAAAGAAAAAAAAAAAAGAAAAAAAGAGGCACATGGGCCTCAGAGAGCCCCCCCTTAAGACTGGTGGACACTGCAGAATCCACGGGCCCATCTGCTTACTCTGAAAAAGAAAAGCCACCACAGTGCCAGGTACCATGGACCCCATGGGATGCGTCCTCACCAAGTCACTAACTGGCCTGTCTCCCCTTAGGAAGATGTCCTCAACACCCAATGTGGCTATGACGTCCGGCTTAAACTGGTGAGAGGGTTAGGAACTGGGCTGGGGCAGGCGGGGGTACTGGGATGGGAATGGGACTGTCCATAGTTCCTCTGGAAGTCCTCAGGGATTCTTGGGGAGATGGTGCTGAGTCCCAGGAACCAGCCAGGCACCCAGGCATCGGAGGGGAAGTAGACCCCTAGGCCCGGGCAGATGTGGCTTTGCTCAGTTGTGCTCTGTGGAGCACCCTTGGGGTGCCCAGTTTTGCCCTAGAGGCTGGAGATTTGTTGCTCATGAGACCGTCTGCTCTGGAGGAGAGGAGGGAGAAAGATGGTAAGCTCTTAGAGAAAGCAGTATGAACAGCCATGTGACAGTTTCAGTTGAGAGCTTGGAAGAAAATAAGGGAGGTGATAGGAGAGGAGCTGGGCAGGCAGGAGGGGGTGTGCGTCCATGCTGAGACCCCATGAGAAGGAGCTGGCTTTGCAGAGGCCTGTGGCAGAGCACCAGGGAGCAGGTGCCATAGGTTTAGGCCCTGGGATGGGCGTGAGCTTGGCAGGCTGCAGAGGGAAGGGAGCTGGCCTGAACGGTAGTCAGGCTGAGCCTGGTGCTTGCGTGTCCCCAGGAGCTGGAGCAGCAGGGCTTCATCCACACCAAAGGCTGCGTGGGCCAGTTTGAGAAGTGGCTGCAGGACAACCTGATTGTAGTGGCGGGGGTCTTCGTGGGCATCGCCCTCCTCCAGGTACTCCTGTGGCCCCACGTGCCTTCACCTTGGCGGGGCTGCCCTAGCTTTTCCCTCACCCATCCTCTGTCTTACAGATCTTTGGCATCTGCCTGGCCCAGAACCTCGTGAGTGACATCAAAGCAGTGAAAGCCAACTGGTGAGGCCGCCACAGGCCATGGCCACATGCCTGGCTTACCCAGCCTTGGGGGCCCCCCAGGACCCTCCTACCACACTCGTGATGGGCAAGGCTGCAGGAGGTTTTCCTGCTGGGACTGAGCCCTGAGGGGTTCGCCTGAGCTGCTGTACTGTCCACCCACGGAGAAAGCTGCTGTGCTTCTGCCTGGGCCACTTGTCCTGTGTGCACGTGCTCACACACATGCAGGCACACGTGTGCACAGGGAGTCACTGTCTCGGCTACATTTGGGGTAGTAGGATCTCCAGGGAACTAGGAAGGGCGCAGCTCAGAGGGTGCAGGCCAGGCGGGGTGGGAGGTACTGTGTGGAGGGGCTGCCCCTGTTTCCTGCCCTTCAGTGCTGGGATGTACTTTTCTGTGTGTGGCTGTATGGGATGTGGTCCCGGAGCCACTGCCTCAAGCAGCTTCAGAGTGTTCTTCTCTATGAGCTGTGACTTTGAGCCTGCCAGGAACCCACCTCAGCTCAGTGTTACAGACTCTGAAATGGGGCCAAGAATTTTGTCTCTCTTGCTTGCCTCTCAGGAGCAAATGGAATGATGACTTTGAAAACCACTGGCTTACGCCCACTATTTCTGAGGTCCTGTCCACAGTGGGGCCTCAGCAGAACTCTCTGGTTGGGGCCCCTGGCCTGGCGCCACCCTGCCAACACGTTTTCTTTGGCCTGGGTGGTTTATACCCTTGAGCCAACCTTTAGAAATTGGTAGATTTCACATGAGTCCAGATCCACAGCTTCTTTTGAAGAATGACCACCTGGCTACGCTGGCTCTTCAGTGGCAATACTACCTGGGACACTGCCTCTCCTGTCATCAGGGGCCCCAGCTGGTCCGTTCTACTCACCTAAGTGCCGCCTGACCCTGGTACACTCGGAGTTGGCCTCTCTCGCCTCTGCGGGGTTATTCCCTGTACCTCGAGGCCGCTGCGGGCTGACCAACACAGGAACCTGAAGGAGTGGGAGGCTGGACCCCGCTCTGAAGAGGGTGCAGCCTGGGAGGGGCGGCCTTGCTGGGGACTCTGGTGGGAGTAGAGTGCCCAGGAGAGGGTCTGAGGGGTGGGATGGGGTCAGGACAACTTTGCAAAAGAAGTAGCTGGAAGCCAAGGGACTAGGGGGAGCCTGTTTGGGAGGTCTGGATGGTTGACTCCTAGGAATCAACTTTAGCATCTTCGCCGTGGCTGCAGAGCTCCCTGATGTGCACTAGAGGGCTCGCCGGCCCCATACTCCCTGGGTCTGGCTTCCTCTTGCAACCTCTCACCAGTAGAGCCTATGCCTGCCTACTAGCCCTTCCAGGTTCTGGGAGTTTGGGAACTTCTCAAGAGCCAACTGGCTCAGGCTTGGGAAGGCTGGCTGCTGCCCTCAGCTCCGCCTCATCAGCTATGCAAGGGGTATGTGTGGAGTTACCCTGCCGCCCCCTCCCTGGGCTTGTCCAGAGATCTCAACCTCGGATGCCCCTGCAGCCACGTAGATCATATAAGTGGATGAAGCAGGCCCTGGAGTTGGGAGCCTGCTTCACTTTGACTTTCCCACTGTTGCTAGAGACAAAGACATCGTGATGAGAGAAAGTTCGCACAATCTAGGGGATAACTGCCGCCTGCCTTGAGAGCAATAGAGTGTGGTGGGTCTCCATCTGACGGTGGCCGCTGCCATGTTCAGGTGTAGCTAATTGCTCTGATTGCTCTGATGCGGGAATGCAGGCCTAATGCCAGAAATCTGGAGAAGCCAGAAATAAAGATTTGTATGTGAGGTGTCCTGATTTTTAAATTGTTGGCAGAAACTAAATTAATTCAGAAATTAAATCTGCAGGCCAAACAAGGTGCAGGGCCCAGCTTTGGCCCCATGCCTACTAGGTCCCTCTAGGACAGTCACCACTGGGGCCCTGGCTGCTCTGCCATTCAGGGATGTTGGGCACTGCTGCCTGGTGGCCAGGGTGTGGGCTATGCGCCCAGCGTTGTGGTTCCTTGGCCCTGTTGGACAGTGTCCTGGGCCCCTGACAGGCACTGGCTGTGAGTGGTTTATACATGCTACAATAAATGCAGCTCACCATGTTGTGTATGTGTCTTGCATTTTCACTTTCATTTTATCCCTCAAACCATGCAACACCCTGTGCAGTGGAATTTCTTTTCCTGTTGAGGAAGTGGACTCAGAGCAGGGAGAGAGGTTGCCTAGAGCACACAGCTGGGTGGGGCACACCAATCTGACCCCTCTTGCTGGAGTTTTGCACCATACCTGTCCTGTGTATCTGATATATGTGGGGAAACCTCTGTACTCAAAGTATCAACCAATAAGGGTGGTTCATCCATCCCCCGAGTGTGTGCTGAACATCAACTCGGGTGGAGACACAGAGGCAAAGGGCAAGGCCCTGCCCGTGGGCTGCATTCTTGTGGAGGAGCCACGGAAAGCAAGCTGTCCAGCATTTTTGTTAGTGATAGATGCTATAAAGAAAGCAGGAGTGGCCGGGCACCATGGCTCACGCCTGTAATCCTAGCACTTTGGGAGGCTGAGGTGGGTGGATCACCTGAGGTCAGGAGTTCAAGACCAGCCTGGCCATCATGGTGAGACCCCATCTTTAAAAAAAAAAAAAAAGGAGGGGTGAGTGCAGGGGGCCTGGGAGAAGGGAAGGGGAGGGGTACCTTCTCTGGGCTGCTCTGGGGGAATGATGTTCTAGGTTTTGGTACCAGCTTCTGTAGAGGCCCTGAAGCCAGGATGGGCTCCGTGTGAGGGAGCCTGGGGTGGCTGGAGAGGTGGGAGTCAGGAGGGGCAGAGGGCATGAGCACAGAGAGGTGGTGTAACCAAGATATATTTGGAAACGGGATTGAAGAGATGGGATGGGAGTGATGAGTAGGAGAGGTTGTGGCCCCGGCTGGGGACCTGGATATCCATTCTTCCATCCATCCACCCACATTAACCATCTATTCATTCATCCACTCACCCACACACGTTCACTCATCCGTCTACCCACCCACCCATCCATCCACATGTTCACTCATCCATCCATCCATCATCCACTCACCCACCCACCACCCACCTACCCATTCATCCACATGTTCATCTATCCACCCACTTACCCACCCACCCACCTACCCATTCATTCACACATTCACCCATCTATCCACTCACCAACCATCTGCCCATTTATCCACATGTTATCTATCCATCCACTCACTCATCCATCCACTTACCCACCCACCCACCTACCCATTCATCTACACATTCATTCTCCATCCATCCATCCATCCATCCATCCATCCATCCATCCATTCACTTACCCACCTACTCACCCATTCATTCCCATGTTCACTCATCCATCTATCTATCCATCTGTCCACTCACCCACCCTCCCACCTGCCCGTGCATCCACACATTTACTTATCTATCCATCCACCCATCCCCCCATCCATCCACTTACCCATCCATCCATCCACCCACCCATCCACCCATTTATCCAGTCACCTACCCATTCATCTACCCATTCACTCATCTGTCCATCCACCCACACTTTATCCATCCATTCACCCATCCACCCACCCGTCCCTCCATCCATCCATCTTCATCCTACGTCCACTCACTCACCTATCCCCTGCCATTCACTCAGGTAGGCCCTAGCTAGAGGCTAGGCTACTGAGGTGGCTCAGACCCTAGCTTTCCCGGAGCCTAGTCTTTTGCTGGAGGCAGACAAGGAACACTGCTAATGTGCAATGTATACCTGGTGACAAGGATGTGATGATCACTGCTAAGTGGAGTCTTAGGCTGGCTACGGACACATTTCCTGTCCCCATAGTAGAACTTGGAGCAGTTCTCTGTGCCAAGGGGCTCTTACCCACAGATGATGCAGCTTCTCCACTTATGCAAGAAACACAAAGGAGCTTGTAAGGCTGCTCATCCCTCTCTGAGGGTCCCTGGGCCATGGGACCAAGGTCACCTCCCACTCTCTGTTAGGATGGGATGTACACTGGTAGAGACAGGTGCACACTGTCTGGCAGCCTGGGAGTCCCCAGGGGCCCTGGGCCTGCCTGTCTCACCACCGGAGAGGCTGCCAGCAGCTCCCTAGTCAGCTTGATGGGAGGACATCCTGTGACACCAAGATACTCTACAGAGAGAGCTAGGAGGACGGAGAGCGCCCAGGCTAGCGAGCTCCTTTATCTCTGGGTGAGGTGGTCAGATGGACTGGAGAGGCCAGGGGCTCCCTCTGGGGAGGTTAAGGCCACAGGTGCCTTGGTGGTAGCCACTCCCAGTAACCACCAGAGGGCACCAAAGTGCCGCCCACGCAGCAGAGCGGGCTCAGCCCACACAGGCAGGAAGGGGCTCTGTGTAGGGTCATTGGGGGCGGCCCCTAGAGCCAAGCAAGCCCTTGCGATCGTTCCAGAGACCCACCCCCCGGTGCCAAATCCAGGCCTTACTACCCTCTGCCCTGTCTTCTCCAGGGAGTGGAGCAAATGACGCTGCCTGCTCAAGGTTCCTCTCAGTGCTGGGAGTCGGGGGGTGGGGGGGCGAGCCCACCTGCTGGGGTAGGCAGGTGGTGGTGTCCACCAGACAAAGCTGGAGAAGGGGGTGAGCGTCACTCTCTCTAGGAGGATGACACAACGTACTCCCCAACCTACACCTCCATTCGCTCTTTCAGCCAGAGCAATGGAGCATCCCATAGCTGCCAGGCACTGCCGCAGACACTTACATGAGAGACAAAACTAAGGCCCCACCTCATGGAACTCAGCCCAGGCCAGGGACCAGCCGGCTTTGTCTACCAAAGGCCAAATATAATGGCAAAAACCGCTGCTACTTTTGCACCAACCTAATTAAATCCACTAGGCTATGTGGCCGTGCACCCCTTGACTCTGCCTTCTTCGTGGAAAGCAGCTCCGGGCGGGGCGTAAGCAGTCAGGTGTGGGGTGTCCCTATCACATTCTACTTGTGGACGCTGACGGTGAGCCTCTTGTGATTTTCATGGGTCATGAATATCATCCTTCTTTTGATTTTCAACTATTAAACAACAGAAAACCATTTTTAGTTCTTGAGCTTTATAAACATAGCTAGCGGGTGGGATCTGCTAGCTATGTTTATAGCTGGAGTGGCTGGAGTTTGCAGACCGGGGTCCCGGAAGGAAGGAAGGGGAGTGTGCACAGCGAACATCGTCTCACGAACCGGCCCTGCTGCGAGGGAGGACACAGCAGAGCAAGCAGGGCTGAGGCAGGGCAGGCCTGGCACTAAATGGGGCGGTCACAGTGGGCGTCGCTGTGAAAGCCAGATGGAGCAAAGACCTTTCATTTTAATTGTAACAGATTTTTGACAGCACAAGGAAAATAGGAACCCATTGCACTTAGAAAATTGGGCACCGTGGCTCACACCTGTAATCCCAGCACTTTGGGAGGCTGCAGTGGGTGGATCACTTGAGGTCAGGAATTCGAGGCAGTTCACTGTAGCCTTGACCTCCTGGTCTCAAGTGATCCTCCTGCCTTAGACTCCCAAGTAGCTAGGACTACAGGCACACGCCATCACATCCAACTAATTTTTTTTTTTTT